TTTTTTTTTTTTTTTTAAATAATATTTTTATGTGAAGGAAGTTTATGTTATATTTTGGTGCTGTGAACTATTTGTAGCATGGGGGAGACTATTATATAAGGTGTAATATTGTGGGTGGTGGCCCCTTTTGTTTTCTTGTCTTGTCCTGATATGGGTTTTATTATCGTACTAATTATAATGTAGGTAAAGTCTTGATCAACTGGAAGTATATTAGTTCTGTTCTTTTGGAACCTTTCTTTGGCTAAGTAGAATTATTATTATTATTTTTTTGGTACAAGAAGAGAGGCCGAAGCCTAAAGGGTCCTAAAGTGCCGCCACCTGACGTGGTTAAGTCACGCCTATCATGTTCCAACCAATGACCAAGTTTCCACGGCGAGTCCAAAAGACGATGATAACCAACTGGAACCTCAGCAGCTAGTGAGGCTAACTTATCAATCGAGAAGTTACCTTCCCGATAAATATAAGACAACCGAATAACCCAGCCCAACCTGAACATCTCACGTATTGCTTGAATAATGTTTTGGATGAAAATAACATTTTTTTTGCCGAGTATTCTTCTAAATGCTTGAAAATGTTATTATTATTGAACATATTCTTTTGTATGTGTACAAAAGTAAATGTTATATTTTTTTTTAAAAAAAAAAGAATAATATAAATAAATACATTATACACGACCTTTTGCATTAATTTGGTTCAATAAGTGTAATTTAGTCACCTCACATTATCATTTGTGTATCACATATACTTGAAGTTTAGAAAACTAAAATAAAAATTATTAGAAGATGAAAAAAAAAAGAGTGGAAAAAAAATGAAAGGTGGCCAAATTGAGCAGGCGAATATAAATAGCCTTTCATATATTTCATCACGTGCCATGATCTCTCACTGTTTAAAGCTGTCTGCTTTAAGGTCCTTGAAAGATCCGACCTATGCAATAGGCCAAGATTTTTCAGAATATAGATAAACACAAATCGGTTTCGGTTCGACCCGTATTCCATTTTTTATTTTTTTTTTCTATTTTTCGAAAAATAGGAAATTAATTTCTCTGTGCAAAAATAATAAAGAATAATTACCATGAGAAGTTCAACTTGTGGCTAAGCAAACAATATAAACAATACAATGAAAGTAGATGGATAAACTCATGTAATCGAATATCACAAATTCTGGCATTAGGCTGTCTAATTGTTAGGCAAATCGATCCGTCATGGAATATATTTTGAATAAGAATAGAATCAATAATGCTAAGGAGTCAACTGTTGGGTCCGTTACGGAGCCAACAACCAATGTGACAGCTCTATGGGGATTGTCCCACATGACTCCAATGTGGGACAGCTCCACATGGAGCTGTCCCATTGGTTGTTGGCTCCGTAAGGGAGTCAACAGTTGGCTCTTTAGCATTATTGAGAATCCATATGCCAGACTTTTCTTTATTTTATATTTTAGAGTATGAGAATATAGTTCGAAAATATGTATATCTACTAGCACAATACTCGTGCACAACACGAGTATTGAGTTAAGAAATATATGATAAAAGTTATTTAAGTTTGATAACAAACCTAACTCCAGAGCAAAAATACTATAAAAACGACATCACGAAACATAGATTTTCGCCATATCAGCATCCGAAGCGTGAGAATCTACCACTTAGGCTCACGACGTTTTGAATTAATATGTATGAAGGGATTAAGAAAGTATGATTGTCTAACGTTAGACATGGCTAATAGTAGTTTAACTGTTATTCTATGACAGTCGTATCAGGAATATAGTCACCACTTGAAGTCTGAAATGTTGTGCCTTCTTTTTTTTCTACCTCCTTTTCTTTGTTAGCTATTTTCTGCAAAAATACATTCTCTTAACATCTGAAGTAAAAGAGAGAATCAAAGAATATAGTACACCAGCCTTGTATCAGGTACCCCTGAAGCTTCTTGGCTATCCCATCGAAAAATATGGCTTAAAAAACATTTCAAATGCTGGTTAACGATTAAATGGACTCGACAAACTCTCACAAAGAACTCCTCAAGCCGAGCAAAACACTGACAGTCTCAATTGATGTGCATTTCAATATGCAAATGAGTTATAATAAAATTCCACTCTTCAAAGTCAAGATAGAGCATGACATGAATGTGAAGTGAAATATGATTCCAGAAATAAAAAGAAAAGGAAAAAACGTGACCAATAAAAAATCTTTGATTGACTGCAAAATCCATTTATGGAGTGGGAACAAGATCATGTTCCCTCATGTTGCCTGTAGATTCATGTTAAGCCAGAGTATAAAATTGCTAGAGAATTCAAACACCTTTTTTTCTCCTTCTCCTTCACGATTCTCTCTCGAGTGTTTTGTTAGTAAGGTTTACCTTTGTTAGGCCAGGAAATGGATCAACTCATGGATTTTTCAGTCTTTTCATCGACAAATATAGTTTTATGCCCCCTGCAATGGGGTTAGAGATCAAATTCCATGTTTCTCAATCTACATGCCAGTAAAAAAAAAATAAAAGTAACCGCTTGCCTATTTGAGGTAAAACAGTTCGTTAACACTCGTGGAAAATGTAAATTAAGACGAAACTTGTAGAACAACACTAAGGTAAGACTTTTCATTTATTCAAGTGCTGCAAATTTGACTTGTAGCAATACATAATTAGTGGCAGGTGATTGGTGACACATATTTAAAGAAAAACACTGTTATTTACATGAATCATTACATTAAAGAGAAGGCAAGAAATCTTCCTTATTTTATTTTATTTTTTTAAAAAGAGGATCAAGAGGGGTTTCCCACTTACGCCCTTGGGTGACTCGAACTCGAGATCTTCACATTTGCTCTTTTTAGTGTGTGCTGCGGACAAGCAACCCTTGAAATGATACGTAGAGATCCTTATTATCTGTTCCGAAAATCTCTTCTGCTTTTCTCAGCGTCTCCTGAAAGAACAAAATACAGAGGGGAGAGTAACAATTAATATATGGAAAGTTTATTCTTCTGAAATTCATGAATAAATGTTATCATCACCAAGAAAATTTACCTCCCGAGATTGAATTTGCGCGTTGAATTCCTTTATGTTGGTGAGAAATGCGCTAAATTGCTCGAGCGATAAACGACTCCTATATATAACGGAACCTAAATACAAGACACTCATAGCGTAAAGTTTGATCAAGATGTAAATAAGACACACCCACCTGGCCTGACGAAAAAACTCCTTCCCGTCAATTCTAGTTCTTGCTACACAACGTTAGCCGGGGAGAAGAAAAAAGAAAAGCATGAATTAGTAAATATGGTCGTAAAGGAAAAAAGACAATAAACTGATAAAAAATATTTCTCAACTGAGAAACACAGAACATGCATTCAGTAAACGTTTAAAGAAAAATATTACAGACAATGCAAGGGGCGTGCTCTGGGGGGAGAATTAGCTGTGGATGACTGCTGGCTGGATGGAAGGTAAGAAGAGATTGACCCATCCCACTCCTCAAATCGAGTCCTTGGCGAAGCATGGCCCGAGTTTCTCTGAGGGGAACCAGCAGCCGAGTACCATCTCGGGGACACACTGGTTATTGATTTTGGGGTTCCAGTTGGGGTAAGTCCCGATTTTCTGAACGGTGTCAAAATGAGTCCTTTCCCAGCTTGTTTAGAGGCTAGAAAAATTCAATAAATTCATTTACATTCTTTATTTACAAAATCCCAACATGGAAAAAAAAGGAAAAGAAAAAATGGGTTTCGGAATACCATCGTCGTTTATGCTTGTGCTGTCGATAGAGTAGTTACTGGAATACTGTGATCTATGGCTGTTAGGCTCCTCCCCTACAATAATCCGTATATTTAATAATTACAAA